TTAAAGTCTGTAGGTTGGTTAATCTAATACTAGCCCAATATTAGTTAAGGAAAAATATCGGGTAGCTTTTTAATGGTTTCAACGTCTCCCTTTGGCCTCAGGTCAACATCCCAAGGCAAGGTACAATCCCTAGATCTACTGTACTCGGCTGTTAAGGTTTACCGTGTTAATATGTAGGAAGTACTTTGAACCTTTAAATTCCCATTGCTGACATCCAAGGTTTGTTCTCTCTGCTTGGTAGCATTTTTAGAGTCCTAGTGCCTAGGAAGCATGGCCAATGATGAACTGGGACTTGACGTTCAGCAATATCTGGAATGTTCCAGGTTGCTTTCCTGGAATTAAACATCCATTCCTGGTGAACACTCCCCTATTATTAGCAGATCTCCTTCTTATTAGAGAACCAGTTTCTCTTTTGATGGAGGAAAAATGGCCCAAAGTTGGGACTAGGAGAAAGGCTGCAGAAGGCAGCTTAACTTGTAGCGTTCTTCTTGCTGCTAGTTAACTTGGTTTATTCCGTTGCATTTCATTTTGACTGAGGAATTGAGTAGTTTGCAACCACCGAAGATGGACACATTTTGTGGAGGTGAAGTCCATTTTTGTTTCCAGGATAAAGGAATACAGCTTTTAATCAAGAGGAGCAGAACCAAGGACTCATTCCTTATGGTCTCTCTCCCTTTGAGTGATTTATCTCTCCTCAAACTGGAAGGACCTAAAATTGTCATGAAAAATGCTTGGCTGTCTTTGAGTTGGAAGGAGTCTAATTTGGGGAGATAAGACAGTTGATGCCAGCATAGATTCTGGGTATGTGAGGTTCCCCTCCCCAGTTTGCAAAAGAAAGCAAAATTTAGGGCAATCTCTATAGCAGATTGGTCAAAAGACTGGTTTGTTGCAAAATCTGCATTGGTGTTTTGTGTACACGTAGCGTTGAATTTTTGTTTGGACCAGTTCCTAAATTTACCTCTCCAGAAGTTATCTTAGAAGATGGAGAATCAGATGTCCTTTCACAGCGCACCACTATACCTTCAATATATGTTGTGAAAATAGCACATAATAGAGTATGACAATATGCAAATTTGACTTTTGAACTGACACAGTCTCTTTGTGTGTTAAGCAGGTACGCACAAGGCATATCAAATCTCACTGGGTGCCTCTTAACACCGGGGTGTTAAGGCTACCTGTGGTGAGTGCGCCTTTTCCTTACTCATCCTAAGGGGTCCATTAGCTTAGCGAGAGTCCTGTTACATATTACATTAAAGATTTAGCTCTTAATTTTTTTCCATGCTGGGTAAAAAGGATCCTCTTTGCACGTCAGCTGTGCTTTTACCATTAAGCCTTGAGCTGTTCTTTGCCCTAAGTAAACAAATCTCCATTGGGGCCATCGGAAACCCTTTTCTAAGCTCGGTGGCTCCTTGCAGAGATGGAATTATGGATAAAATCCAGAAAAAGAGGGATTAAGTCTTTTCTTCCCATAGTGTTCCTCTTAATGATTGGACTCCCAACTGTTCACGAGAGGCTGGCAGACACTTTTGTTCTGCTTCTCTAACTCTCCTCTGTTTATATATTTTAGAAGAAAATTGTTTGGGTCACAATTCACAATAAGCCACAATTGCTTTTTACTGGATATTTGTTTCACTCTGACCTGGTGTTCTTGTTGTTTGGTTCTTATCCAAGAGATTGACTGAGGGAATGTTTAACAACCAAGTCTTCTGTATTTATTGATTGGCTTAGTGGGTACTCTTGCTTTTATACTGTTCTTTTTTGTTGTTGTTGTTCCAGTGAGTTAGATTACCCTGGGTCTCCCCCATCTCAGTGGTACTAAAAGCTAATTTATTTAATAGCCTTTAAATCCTCCTTCCTTTGATGTCCTGTTGATTGAAAATTAGCCAGCAGTAAAAGGAGAAGTGATATGCAGTTCACCTTAGACTCAAAATAAAACGAGATTTCACTTCCTTTCCAAAAAGAGATTCTGGCGAAACCTTTCAGTTTAGGTTAATTGTTACTTTTAGCCCCCCCACCCCACTCCTCTCCCTCCCTCCCTCCTGTTAGTTGTAGAGAGGTTTGCTTTGCTTTGGTGGGCCATGAAAAAAAAAAAGGCCACTTCAGTGAAATAATTGTTTTTTAATTCTTGGTATCCCCTTCTGTGCTTTTTGCCATTTCTTCTAATTGTGCAGGACATTAACATGAAAAACAGGATCCTCCTTGCTTTGGATTTAATCTGCTTCGGCTGCTTAGTCTCCCTCTGAAACTTCCCAAGAGATCCGTTACTTAGGTAGCAGAGAAAAAGCTTGTAAAAGGAAACCATGTTTGTGTGTGTGCGCGCGCGTGTGTGTGTGTGTGTGTGTGTGTGTGTGTGTGTGTGTGTGTGTGTGTACATGAACACTTCCTTGTGGATATATCGAAATCTGGTGTTTCTCCTTCTACACTTCACTGGAATTCTGTGTTTGAGTTTGCACACTCTCCATCTACCTGTTTGTGGACTATCCTTGGCTACTTTATCCTGCCTTTGTGTAAGTAAATAACCCTCTTCCCTCACAGGAATGCTCATAAATCTCTTCTTCTTAACAGTGCTTTTATAAAAAGTACAATTTTGGAACCTAACATTCCAGTTGGGTGCCTGCAGGGTATTTCCCCCTTCTTTTTTTGAAGCAAAAATTAGAAACAGTTTTTGCTTTTCACCTGCAGATGTTATTGATGTTTTAAATCTTATGAAGTATGGAAGCAGTAGTTAAGTCTTCGTAAGGTGCATATATTGAAAAGAGCCAAGACTACAGCCTTCCCCAATCAGTTGTCTTCCCAGATGTGCTGGGGCGACTTTCAGGAATTCCCCCATCAGCAGAGTCAATAGAACACTGGGAGTTGTAGTCCAAACATGCCTAGAAAAATGCGAATGGGGAAATTTCTGGCTTCGTGGACTAAAATAAAAACACGGGGAAATGCCCTTTATTCTCTGGAACTTTTATCTTGGCTCGAAGAACTGAATAATTGCATGCGTTGGGTGAGAGAGGCCAAATTCAACAGGACCAGTAAAGGTGATGTTAGATATTGGTTATTATTTTTCGTAATAGCTCAATTTACTCCCAGGGAGGAAATTGCATGAAGGAAATTTCCTTCCATGAAGGAAACCAGGGTCTGCGTGGAGACCACATGTGGGCAACTGAAAACTTAAGAGCTACTGTTGACATCTCCTTTTTGTGGTTTCTTCTGATGATCATTGGCGGAGGCATTATGTTTGACCATTTTAGGAAGAATATCAGTTGAATCCCTTCCAAAATTCCTACTTTTTTAACCCATTATTTCTCCTCCACCCCCAAATGACAGTACTTGATAGTGGCTATCTACGGGTGGCTAACATTTTAAATTGTTATTATTATTATATTGTTTATTGTTGATGTTGGGTATATTGTAAAGCTGTTGGCTTTCTCTGGCCCGTGCTTAGATATAAGTGGGTATCAAAGCAAAGTACATCTTACTAATAACCACTAATAACAAGCAAAGGTTGTTGAATACAAAATAACTATAAAAATATTGACTAATATTTCCTGGGCTTCAGTTCCACACATAGTTGCTCTTTGTCCTCAACCCTCAAGCCAGGGCTGTTAAAGCCAAAATAAATAAATCCACAGTCAGCTGGCATGATAGATTTACGTAATTTAGAACAGGACACAAAATTCTGGTTCTCTGGGAGCAGAATTTCAGTTGCGTGGATGTGCCACTTTGTGATAAATTCAAGCGCCGGATGTAGGCATATACTGATTTGTCACCTGAATTTGCTTTCTTTGCGAGAGATTTGGGAATATCTGCTGCTTCTAGCTTTGCCAAATTGCTAATAGTTTATAAGCTTTCCCTAATAAATCCCCCTTGGGGCAGGTTTGTTTGTTAGAGATTGCTAGTGCTAATGTCCTGGATTTTGTCTGCATCTTACACAAATAACTTAATGGAGGTGAAGTATACTTAGGGTTGGCGTAGTTCTAATGTGAAAGCACAATTTAAGGACTGGACTGCAAAATCAAAGACTCTTCTTATCTCAAGTATGTTATCCCTTGTTCCTAAGTAAGTCTTCTATTTTAGTTAACTAAAACTTAACAATAGCTAGTTAACAATAGCTTTAGTTAACGATTGCTTAACATTGCTAAATCCACGCCTGACTTTTCAAATTATCCCAGTTCTGGTGTTTTCCACCTAATGCGTAGATATTGTGGCTTCCAGAATATGTAAACCTTCCTTGCTGTTAAATGAAGAATTCTCTATCCAAATTGTGTACTAAGACTCAGTTTCATGACACACAAATCCTTGTTTAAAAGTAGATCCAAATTGTTACCATGGCATCAACTTGTGGAATGTGATGAATTTGGACTGGGGGTGGTTGGGAGACTGGGTGAGTGGTGCGGTGGCCTAGAGGTGGAGCTCTTACCTCACAGACTGTGAGTTCGATCCTAAGTAGAGGCAGACATTTCTCACTCTGGGCACAGTGATAATATATCTGTTGAATATAACCCCGCATTGGCAACAGGAAGGGCATCCGGCCAGTAAACACTCAGCTAGTTTTTGGCATGGCACAGACTGATTCCAGGGACTCCTGACCTATATACTGCTTAAACCAGGGCTCTTGAAACTTGACAGCTTTAAGACTTGTGGACTTCAACTCCCAGAATTCCTCCTCCAGTCATGTTAATTCAGGAAGTCTGGGAGTTGAAGTCCATAAGTTTTAAACTTGCCAAGTTTGAAGACTCTTGGCTTAAACTGTTGTCTGGATTCTAACACTTCCTCCCCAGTATGGGAGGTCTTAAAGAATATCTCCCTCCTAAAAACACCCCATTTATGCAAATAATTAGCCTGTTGAGAAGAGACTTACCTCTTTGTGTGAAATCTTACCTATGTTCTGAATTGGTGCAGCCTGGTCGAGAGTTTTCACTGCTTCAGAATGATCAAATCTACTTCCCTGAGTGCGTTTTCCTTACATATTGTTAAAAAAGTTTTTCTTTCTTTTATTCTTCTCCCAGAACTCATCCTTGAGTTGCAGTGACTCTTGGTGCCCGATTCTTGGGATTTGGCAGAATTTGCTGAAGCCTGCATGCTGCTTCATGCAGACACAGTAAGTTATATGTGTGAGTGCACGAGGGATTGGGTTGGGGAAGCGGAAATGAATACAGGTAGTCCTTGAACTTAAAACAGTTTGTGTGCTACTTGAAATAAAAAGAAAACAGGGATTTTAAAAAAGTCCCTATCCAGAGTTAAATAATTCTGTGTTTATTCTTTAATTCGAAGTTACGGCGGTGCTGAAAAAAGTGACTTATGACCATTTTTCCCACTTATGACCATTGCCATGGCACCACATGATCAAAGTTCAGATGCTTGGCAAATGACTCATATTTGCAGTACCCCTGGATCATGTGATCCTCTTTTGCGACAAGCAAAGTCAATGGGGAAGCCAGGTTCACTTAATGATCATGTTACTAACTTAACAACTGCAGTGATTCGCTTAAAAACAGCGGCAAGAAAGGTCGTAGAATGAGGCGAAACTCACTTAACAACTGTCTTGCTCAGCAGCAGAAATGTGGAGCTCAATTGTGGTCATAAGGTGAGGTCTACCTGTATATCATTCTCAGACTTACTATGCTTTTAAAAATTTATTTAGCATTTTGTATGAAGCCAGGCAATTGTGTCTTACAAACCATTGGTTATAATTTAGCAGGGTATAAGAGTCCAATCCATGGCTTACAATCGTATTTCTTCTTCTTGTGTCATTTCCATCATCAGTCATTGGCGATCATGTTGGCAGTCCTATTACAATCATTAGCATGATTTATTCACTACCTGGCATCTATCTAAACCCAGGGGTCTTCAAACTTGACAGCTTTAAGACTTGTGGACTTCTGACACCAATAATGATAACAAATAAGGAACCACAGACTGTTGATAATGGAATTGTTTGTTTTTATTTGTTTTCTTTTTCTTTTCCTTTTTTTCTTTATGTTGTGTATGTGTTTGTTTGTTATTTTAGTTGTATAATCAATAAAGTTTGCTTTAAAAAAAAAAAACTTGTGGACTTCAACTGCCAGAATTCCTCCTCCAGTCATGTTAGCTCAGGAATTCTTCCACAACTCTTAAACTTGCCAAGTTTGAAGACCCTTGATCCATGGCTTACAACCTTGAGGTGTGAATGCCATCTTTTTTTCTCCAACAAGCTTACATGTCTGCATAATTTAAACCTGTTGCTACTTGAAATGAAAAGAAAACCAAGGGATTTCAAAGAAGTCCCTATACAGGGTTAAGTAATTCTGTGTTTCTTCCTTAAGAAAAGCCACCTGCATCTTCTCCAGCCATTAATACCGAGTGAACCTACTCTGATTGATGATATTTTCACCTGCTGGCACCATGGCTATGTCTGATAATGTCAGTCATCGCCTTCTCCTCTCTGTTTCATGGGTACCCAGTAGGAGAGAAAGCTTACAGCAAGCAACTTGAGAATGCATCAAATCATTGGGCAGCGCGTGCTTCAAAAATTATTAGGAAGAAATGTTTGGGATTTCCTGCCAGCATAGCATTTCTGCAATTAATTAAAGTAGCCCAATGTTTCTCAGACTTCTGTGTATGCCTGAGAAAAGGTGCCACCTTTTCTGCCATGACATTCTTTTTGAGGGCTTATGCATAAATTTGAAAAATAGGACAAGGCTGCCGGAGAGATGCTGTGCTTGCACGAGATCTGAATCATTTTCAAAGCAGGCACTGATGATTTTCTAAAAAGCAAGGTCAGTTTTCTTCAGCTCCAGTCCAGTGGCAGGACAAAACTATCCATGCACGAAAGAAAGAATCCCATTGCTGGACCTGTCGCAACTTGAACCTCTAAATCGAAACGATCCTTGGCTCCATTTGTTGGGAAAGGTATAATTTGATTGGAGATCAAGTGTATTATAGTACTTCATAGCCAGAACTGAGAATCATCAGCCCAAATCCATACATTTTACTTTTGCCTCCCTAAACTACCTCTCACTGCCACCCCAGTGTAACCAATCAGGTGTCAGGCAAGATGTTTTCATAATGGTCAGTCCAAGCACAGTTCCCTCCTTCTTCCAGCTGGGTGACCTTGAGGCAGCATCTCAAGGAGGCACAGCACTTACTTTCATTTCCCCAAGCATTCCCCCTTCATTCCCCAAGGTCATGACAGTATGTCACTGCATAGCAAAGAGGCACAAGCAAGCATAAGGTGGCAGTTGACACCCATGCAACTTGAAGAGCTTATAGTAACATTCCTCCAAATTTCCTAAAATGAACTGGATGAAGACTACAAATGCCCAATGAGAACACAATCCCGGCTGGAGGTTGTGGGCAGGAATGGAATGTCCTTGAAGAGGTTATGGCTGGATGGAACAGGAGCATCCTCTGCCAGAATAACTTGCTGTAGATTATGTGTGTGTATGTGTGCGCGTGCAAGAAAGAGAATGAATCTCAAAGGAAATTTGATTTTAAAATGCCAGAAATTTTAGTCTGGGATGGTAAGCACTGAACCCAAATCTTAAGGCTAGCTTGGCAGATCTTATAAATCTGTGTTGATGGAGTAGATGTTTTGGTGTTCTTTTGCTCTTTGTATTTTAATTAGTCATTGTTTTCTGATGCTGCCCTTTTTAATTATGGCTACAAATAAAAGCCTGTTCAGTATATTTTTGGCTGGATTCCCTTATAATGCTGAATTTTAAATGAGAGTTTATATCCTCGGTGACTGGGTTCACAAAATCTGCTCATTTCAAACCATATTACAGCTTAAATGGGATGTGTGAACCCAGTTTAAATAAGATTCAGATAATTTAACTTATAATTTGATTTAGAACACTGTTTTTTTTTAAAGGGAAGGTGGTTTGTCATAGATGGTAGCAAACTCTTGAGGTCTGAAAGTAATAGAAAAGTGAACATTGTGGGTTTTGATTTGATTTAGTCTGATTTCTAGTTAGGAAAGGATAATCAGCTATTTCAGATCCTTTATACCCAACAGGATCTTGTCATATGCCAGAGGGGTCTGCAAATGGTGAACATTCAAGCCCAGGAGCCCTAAACTCTTGTGTGAAAAGCTTCTGCAAATCTTTATAGAATCTGGGCTTTCCCCAGATTTATGTCTCATAAAAAAATAAGCTTCTTTGTGCACAGGAGTTCCTAATTAACTAAAGGGTGTGTGCCATTGTTCTTAGTATCCACTTAATGAACCTCCTTGCAAAATTGCATTATTGGACAGAACCTTTGCATGCTTCTTTTTTCCTTGAAAACCTGATGTTTTAAGCAAGTCTCTTGGACTCTTTTCCTGGTCTGTTCTCAATTTTCACCTAAGAGCTGCAAGAAGGCAGGAAATTGTATTTGTCCTTCCTTCTGGCCCCTGTTGCTGAAATTTCTTAGATCATCAGACTTGGTTATGATTATGACATTAAGCATGATTTTACACGCTTAAAATAAATCTCCATTAAATGTGTGGAATATTAAACTGTGGTTGAGTCAGAGCAGATACCTGTATTTTTATCTTAGGCAATGTCACCACCTTAAAAATTGTGAGGGTTGCAGCATAACGGATCTATAAAGCACCAGTTGGGGAAGGTTACTTTAAGGAACCCAGCAATCAGGAGTGGGCTTCAAAAATTTTGGCAACCAGTTTTCTGCCCGGTTGCTGGATGTGTGTGACCATGGTGGGCGTGGCCTAGTCGGCCTCCTGCACTGGGGGGGGGTGCCTTCCCTGGGCTTTGCAGGCTTTCCTTGAACCTCTGGGAGGGCAAAAACAGCCTCCCCCGGGCTCCAGAGGCCCTCCAGAGGCCGGAAATGGGCCCATTTCCACTTCCAGCCTTCTGGAACTTCTGGGAGGCCCATTTTGCCCTCCCCGGGCCTCCATATGGGCCCTGCGCTTAGCTGGCATTGAAAATGGGCCACGTGGAGACTCCTGGGCAGGGCGGGGTGGGTGGGGCCAGCCAAGGGTGGGATTTGCAAGTTCGCCGAACTGGGCAGAACCTTAGCTAGAGAATCACCTGAACCTGTGCGAACCCGTAGCAGCCCACCCCTGCCATTAATTGACCAAGCTCTTTTGATATGATTCTGTAAGAATTTGGGTAACTGATAGCCTAAAGGAAGATTTGGTGCCCTGTTGGCATGGCTAGGGGCAAGAGGTGTAAGTTTTAAGTTCATGCCTTCTAAGTGGATGACTTTTCATCATACCAGTCAGGAAGAGTTGAGATGGTTCAGGAAAACCTGCTTGAAGCCCAAGAAGGTTAGCTAGTATTCCATGACAATTGAATGTTTGTGTGTTTGTGTGCCTTTGAGTCGACGTTGACTCCCGGCAACTGACTGAACAAGTCCCTGCAGTTTTCTTGGCAAGATTTTCGGAAGTGGTTTCTCCTTGCCTGTTTCCTAAGGCTGAGCGAGTGACTCAAAGTCATCCAGCTGGCTTCATGCCTGAGCCTAAGGTGAGACTAGAACTCATGGACTTCTAGCCTGGTGCTTTAACCCTATCCCAAACTGCCTCTCTTCTTGCTGATGCTTGTTCAAATTAAAAAAAAAAAATTTGGATCAGTTGTGGCCCCTAATTGGAACAACGTTTCTATCTTCAGATTTTGTTTCAGCTTATTAAAATAGGGTAACTTAGGATAGACTACAGAACAGAAGAGAAAATAGGGAAGGGAAGGAAAGAGAGGAGAGGAGAGGAGAGGAGAGGAGGGGAGGAGAGGAGAGGAGAGGAGAGGAGAGGAGGAGAGAGAAGAGAAGAGAAGAGAAGAGAAGAGAAGAGAAGAGAAGAGAAGAGAAGAGAAGAGAAGAGAAGAGAAGAGAA